GAGGGTTGACGTGCCCTCTGCGACTGCAGGTCCGGAGATCTTCTGAAGCACAAAACTTCCAACGAAACATGTGTGGCATTCTAATCTAGAGTTGTTCGGATAAGTATTGTGTCTCAAAAAAAACATTATGATTGAATATTAAAGACATTTGCCAAAACACCCCACCCTTGTGGACAAACATTCTCAACAATCCAGATTAATTCACCATGTTTCCGTTCTCAAAAAAACCTGCTTCCCTTAGCTAGTTTTTCACTTTAACAGTTGCGACTCTAAAAGCTCGGTTCAAGTGCTGATCCTGGGGAACGAGGATGCGTTTGTAATGATGTGCCAAGCTGCGACTGGCTGCTAATGCCTTTCATGCTTGTTTTAGAGCTGGGAACGTTGCGATGTATTCCTCATTACCCCTGTGTTAAGTCTAAGCACAGACTGCCTGGTGAAAGGGGTGAGAGAGTTGACATATGTTTCTTTCGCCTGTCTCTTTTTCTCTCCGGTGAGCTCCGCTCGGCTATTAACGTAGCTGAGGAACGCCTGTGTAAACATTCGTGTTTCTTCCCCCCCCCCCCCGTTTTGAATAATAGTGACCGGTATCGCCTTTCCCCCTCGACCTCGCTATCTGAAACCAATTACAGCTGATCCATTTGGGCAGAATCGTATTTTCATAAGGATTGCGAAGCTCTTGAAATCATGTGTTTGTGCGCGTGTCTTCAGTGTGTGCTTCATTGTACTGAACGTGCAAGTTTGTTTCTTTCTGTCCTTTTTTTTCTTCCCCCTCCCAGTCCTTAGAGATAGATATCAACATCAAATATGTTCCTGAGTGCCTTGTTATTTACGCTCCAGCCCGGGTTCTCCTTGAGCTCCTAGCTCTGAGGAATGTGATGCATTGTGCTGTTTATACAATGTGTGCATTAATGGATGGCAGCCCACATTTCTTTTGCACAGCAACAAAACTTATAGGATGAAGAAAAGCAAAGCAAAGCAAGCAGCTTTCAGCCGTCCAGCAAAACTTCAGTGGTTGCTTTGCTTTTGTTGAATCTGGAAACACCTTAATATGCCTTTGTGTTGCATTCACACATGTGGCTTACTGTTCTTTAATCAGTCAGTTGCAAAATTATGCAGGCTTATGGACTGTTTACCATAGTGTTCAGATCATTGAATTCAAGAACCAGATCAGTCCCATTCAAATTAATCTTATAGACTGGTTTGTGAACAGATTCAGTGAATCTGATTCATTTGTTTATGAATTGGCTGTCTGTTTAGTCTGTTCTTTACACAAAAATATAGAGTCGTTTGGACTACATTTATGCATTTATGGTGCTTTTTGGTCTTCTTAGGCCAGTTTTATGTAAGGAACAGACTGAAACTTAAGCCGATTCATTAACAAACTGTTTAGATTCTTTGAACCTGTTCACAAAGCTAGTCTGAATGATTCATTCAAATCAGACTTATCTGATTCTGGAACTTTTATTGTCATTTTGCATCTTGCCAGTTTCCATTCACCTTTGTTATATTGAAAAAGTGGCCCAGAATAGTCTTCCAGAATAAAATTTGTGTTTAACTGAAAACAATGAGTTTGGAATGAGGATGAGGAAGTAAATAATCCCATGATTTTGGGAGAACTATCCCTTTAACTGTTCTAAACAAATGTTCTTCTAATATGCTAAGTGGAGTTGATTACATTTCACCCCTTCCCAGTGTTCACGTTCGTAATGGAAAAGCCATTAAACGTCTCCATCCGTGTGCTGTGGGAAGCGCCACTCTCCTGACCTCTACCGTGTATTGAATGACTTCTTTGACTTTGTCCTTTTATTCATCAGAGGACAGTGAGTCTGTATCGATCGGGGCGCAGATAAACATTTCCTCCTGTTAATTGTTGTGCTAAAGCCATTAGCCGACCACTAAAGCCACACAATCACCGCTTGGATGGGCGTGAAATCTCCCGCAATTTACAATCTCATCCACGCGGTCCTGCCGATAATGACTTTGCGAGGGTACTTATAACTCACTCATGCATCCGAAAGTACCACGAGGACCATCACTAATCGATAAATGCGTCGTTTAGAACGGAAAAATAAGGCAGGGTGATTTGCAGAATTTTTTTAGTATATTACTTGATTAGTTTGCAAAACATAAACACTTGTTTTTTTCCCAAAACTTACAAGTATGCCCCATTCAAACGGCAAGACTCCGGTTATTGTCTGTTTGGTTCATTCAAAGACAGGACAGGACAAGGAACGGATTTGAAGTAGTCCAGCTCTCCTCCACATCCGGGTGACTGTTTACCATTGTGTTTGAATCATTAAATTCAAAAACTGGATCAAATTTTATGTAAAGAACAGGCTGAATTTTAAGTAGGTTTATGAACCTGTTCACAAAATTAGTCTAAATGATTAATTCAAATCAGACTTGTCTGGTTCTGTAACTTTTGTCACTTTGCAGCTTGCCAGTTCCCATTCACCTTTGTTATATTGAAAAAGTGACCCAGAAGAATATTCTTCATAATTTTATGTTTCAGTCCGTTCTTTACATAAAACTGGGTTCAGAAGACCCAAAGCACCATAAATACATAAAAGTAGTTTAAATGACTCTATATTGTTCTATACAGAATAGACTGAACAGACAGCCAATTCATGAACAAATTAATCAGATTCATTAAATATGTTCACAAAACTAGTGTAAATGATTCATTCAAATCAGACTTATCTGATTTTGGAACATTTATTGTCACTTTGCAGCAATAAGTGACAATAAAATTTGATTTAAAATTGACTAAATTTATTAGTTTGTGAAATGTGAAATCTTGTTTTTTCCCAAAACTTATCCGGTTAGACAAGTATGCCACATTCAAAGCACAAGACTCCGGTTGTTGTCCGTTTGGTTCATTCAAAGACAGGACAGGACAGGGAACTGATTTGAAGTAGTCCAGCTCTCCTCCACATCCTGGTGTCCCCTGAAGTATCAGACAACGGCTCTGTGTGTGTGTGTGTGTGTGTGTGTGTGTGCATCAGAGGAGACAGATCGATGCTGTTAGGACCCAGCGCCACTGTGTTGTGTTTGTTTACCAGGAGCTCGGAGAGCCTGGCTCCTCACCGCACAGCCAGACAGACAGTGGCAGCTCCTCACCCTGTCTCTTCATAATTGATCAGGGGGATGGCTGCCTTCCCAGCGGGTTAAGACGTGGCAACTTTTCCCCTATCTCTCTCTTTCTCTCTCTCCTTCTCTCCCCCTGTTTGCTCAGCATCTCAATGTACTAGTTCAAACATTGTTCTCACCAGCTGGCAGAGCAGTGCCATATGCACATCCTGTCAAGGCAGCTGTTGTCATGGATACTGGCAAGCACCAGGAAATATAACAAGCCCTTTATTCTGCTGGAAGAAGTGTCACTCTTTATCTGAAGGAGGGTTTTTTTTCTTCTTCGCACCCCTCGACCTTCACTCTCCTCTTCCCCGACAGATGAAACACCTGTGAAGTTATTGTGTTGTTTATATTGCTTTATTTATTTTGTTGCTTTCTCCTTGTGTCGGGGCGCTTGTGTCGTTGTTCACTTCTGTCTACAGTCGACTTACAACTCCAGGAAGTCTGGAAAGAGTTGCTTTCCTTTGAAGGCATGTATCAGTATTCCTGTAGATACATGAGGAACACTGTAAGGTACATAATTTCAACCTACCTGCCATCAGGCTTACACGCATATACTGTAACATGTTTTTTTAAGAAAAAAATAAAAAAAACATTTCTGAAGAAAAAGGAGTGGATGTTTGCTTATGCAGAAGTTGGTAGGATTTTGAGGGCGATTGTTAATGCTATTACTATTTCGTTGGGAGTGTGGTGGTTACTAAGGTGTTCTGAGGTGTTGTCTGAGCATTGATGTGGTCATGTTGCTGGCTAGGACATTTCTAAGGGGTTGATAGGGTGGTCTGGGTGGTTGCTATGTGGTTGCTTATTGGTCAAATTTTTAAAGAGCCCAGAGCATTCACTCATACAATGTAAATCTGTTTTTTCACCAACATGCTATAAATCATTAGTTTGATCCCCTATAAGCATAAAAGTAATAGGTATCAATCATGTCAGTAGCACAAATTAGGGATCAGCTGATTATTGGCACCGATATTAAGCATTTTATAGATATCGTATCGGTTACTTTCAAAACCGATTTGCCGATAAAATAACTTAAAAGCATTTAAAGTTTTTGTCACAGCCCTTTTTATTCTTAATTTTGATATTCATTTTTACACCAGACATATATATCGGTTCGAAATATCGGTTATCGGTCTACTTGATCTGTAATAATCGCATCAGCATTAGCCCTGAAAAGCACATATCGGTCGACCCCAGCACAAACAGGATGAGTTACATTCTAAAGTTTAATAATTAGGGTTAAAGATTTGAACAAACCCCTAACATTAAGTATGAGCTATAGAGACGCTTGCCTTAGCAACCAAATATTCTTGTATTGTTGTATGACATTGGATAAGTAGGTATCTGGAGTGATTTGGCAGAGAAGGGCCGGCGTCACCCCTGTGCTCAGGGGCCCGGCTAATGCTCAGCTCCTTGTTAATTCACTCCTGAGGTAATCTGATGTTGATTTTGTCAACTTTAATTACAGCTTCTAGGAACACTTCACATCGCCTGCCTCTACTTCAAATTGATATTATGAATATGCAAATGGGCCGGTAATTTGCAGAGAAGTGGATATTTCAGCTGAGCACACACTAGACAGGTCAATACCACTGACACTCTCTGTGTTTTTTTTCCCCCTCGTGCTCTTTAGAGGTGCTAGACAAACTGTATTTATCTTTCATCACGGCTTTGTGGATTATCATGAAAAATGTATATCTGAGAGACGCTTCATGTCTCATCAACAACAATGAATAGTGTAGTGGATGGAATGTGCCGGGTTGATGTCACCTTTCACAGTGTTTGATATTTGAGTGTGCCGGGGAGGGAGAAGGATGGGGGAAAAAAACTAATTTTGTGTCTCTTTTTCTCTTTTCGTTTCTCTGCAGGCCCTACAAGCAGCAAGGCAATTACTCCTACAGCAACCAGGCAGTGGCCTGAAATCTCCAAAGAACAACGACAAACAGCGTCCGTTGCAGGTGAGCAGTTCCTCGCTAATCTCTTAAGTCCATCCATAATACATGGTGCTCTGGAAAAGATTTCCTCTGTTCCAGCTACTCTGTTTGATTTGGCAATGTAATTCTGGAGCTGTCAGTAAAATTTCAACCTGTCAGGCCTGCCCTTCTCCAAAAGAAACCAAACAAAATACCTCACACCTGAAACCATTCTGTTGTCTAAAGCTACATTACCTCAGCACCTCTGTTGGGCAACCTTGAAATCTCTGCTGTCAAAAGATATTGACATATTAAAGGAATATTCCGTGCTCAACTGATAGCATTGGTTTCATATTCTTGAACACAAAAATTAATATTGACTTGTTCCTTGTCTTTAAAAAGGCAAAAATCAAGGTTGCAGTGAGGCATTTACTATGGAAGTGAATGAGGCCATTTTTTGATGTGTAGCTTATAATTGTTCTGTTGAAGTGTATTATTTGTGCTATAAAGCTGTTTAAATCATCATTTTTCAAGTCGTTTTAGGGATTTATGAGTTGCGTTATCATGGCAACAAAGAAAAATTAGATGTAACTTTACACAGAAGCTGTTCGTAATCCGTTTCTCACTCTAAAATCATAACTCACATTGTTAATGTTTTGTGGTGAAAAAGTGAGTTTTAACGTTTATAGATTTTGCCCCATTCACTTCAGTTGTAAGAGCCTCACTGTAGATTTTACAAAGTCAAAATTAAACATGGTAAATGAAGAATAAAAAGCTTTTTGAAACTTTCTATTGGATTATTTACAATACAATTCCACAGAAACCAAATAGCAACTCTTCCTGTAGCATTGCGTATCCTAACTAGCTGTCATTTGTACTCCTCCAAGATAATTTGCCATTATTGATTCCAGCTGCGCCGCATCGCTATTGTCTGTGATTTGGTAAAGGTCACAGCGGCATCGTGCACGTCGCATCCCCTATTACCAGACATGTTTACTTACCCACTGAGTGCCGATGTGTTATTTCTCTCACATCCCCACAATACAAACGCGCCGCCTCAAATTATGTAAGCGCTTGACATCTGCCAGGCTCCGTATTTTTAGGTTTAAATTAAGTGCGAGAGAGAGCGTGCCCTCCTCCCTGCTAATAAGTGCTATCAGCTAGTGGTTTACCTCATTAGTACCCCGTGCATTTAATTAAAGGAAGGGAAAATTAGCGCTAACCCTCATCGTTAATATTTTCACAGAGTATAACAATGGCGACACCTTCTCCTTCTCATCTTGTGGCTGTAATATTGAAACCATTCACCTTGGTTCCATTCATCTCCAATTGAATATTCCTTTATATCTCTTTGATAGCTATGCTTTTAAATGCTTACAAAAACTCAATTCAGATCATGTGCGTGTACTTAGACATGCCAAGTAACAAGCTTTTTGAAAAATGACTTATTTACATAAAAAAGTAAACGCCTGCTCGTTCGCTGACACTGATGAATCCGCCCCTTTTCCTGTCCAGGAAAGGCAGGGAAAGTGATCCATAGATCATGGCATATAAATTATTTACTGCATGAGCATCTAAGTGCTGCAGCTCACGGTTTTAATTACTTGTATTAGTGTCTAAAGCCTGTCGGCTGACTAATTCTATCCAGCGCTTCATCTCGCGCATTTGACGTGTTCAGAAGCCGCTTTTCCACATTTGCGTAATGTGACAGGTCTATTATTACCCCGTAAGCCCAGAGGAGAAGTCAATAAACACCTATTTCTTCCCCGTAAATCCTTGTGCCTTCTTCATGCTGCTTACAAGGATTTCCCAAGGCACACAACAGTCCTCTCTCGTCGTACCGCCTCTCCCTCCGAGTGGCAATATCTCGTGTGCGTTTTATACACTGACATTTAAAACACAAATAAAAAGCGAGAGGACGAAAGGGAAGGGGGATTACAGAAAGCTTGCACGACTGGCAATTGTGTCTCCTGCCCTCCCAATCAGCCCAGCTGCCGTTCTCCAACTATAAGCTACATGCCGGTTTGTTTGTTTGGCTCTGTGTGCCGCCCAGGCGTCTCGTCCTGATGGCAGGATGGGCATTTAACTGTGTGAAAACACATGTTAGCGATACTGAATACTGACGAAACAGCGGTTAGAAGCTAACAGGTGGATGCTGAACAAACAGAGGTATGTGGGTGTTACAACGGGCTGTTGTGGTGATATAATATAGCTGTCTAGGTGTCAGGAAAGTGTTTAAAGAGGTAGAGTTGACCTTTGACCTGTTGGCGGTGTGGGCTCAGAGAGCAATATCTCAGCATTAACAAGGTCAAATAACCAAACAAAGCAATTTCAGCTCACTAGAGTGCAACTACGGTACACTCTACAGCGTTTGCATCCACGACAGAAACATATGGCCAATACTTTGACCTTTTTTTGTTCATTTTAAACCCAACCGACTTTGCTAATGTAACTTTTTCACAACCAAACATCCTTTTGGAGGCTTCCTCGTTCCTACGTTTGGGAAGGACGGCTGAGCGGCTCGTTGCTCGCGTGTATTTCAAGACGAGAAAGAAGTAGCAGATAGCTCAACCCAATCACTTCCTGAGCAGTGAGCCATCCGCCGAGTGTCGCCGATTTAAAGGTCAGCAACGCACAGCTCATCTGAGCGTCGGACTCCTGCGCCATGTTCCTTAAAATTCATCTACTCAGACCGCCAACTGGAACCGTGCACAAAGCCGGCGGAATTTATAAAAGGAAACCCGTGCCCTCATATTAACATTGATTATTAACAACATTCACCCAACAGTAGGGTTGTGCGCCATTCAGACGAGAATTTGGAAGACCTTTTAAATTCAGTTGATTGGAAGTGAATTTGAATTGAGGTAAAAAAAACAGAGTGCAGAATTGCAATTGGAATTTGAATGTAAGAATTAATTAAAAAAAAAGACATTCAAAGAAGTCAATAACACTGTAACTTAACTAGTGTAACGTGGCAAGCAATGGATGGCAGGTAAGATGTGGATCTAAATTCAAGACTTTAAATAAAAAGGAAGGAAGGAAAGGAGGGAACCACAATATGTACATCCAGCAACTAACCAAGAAACATCGGAAACACAAGGGATATTTATACAGGCTGGGTTAATGAGGGTAACAAGAAGACAAAACATAACTGGGGAGACAATCAAGGGGAACCTATGAACAAAGGAACTACAAAACTGACACAGGAAACAGAACAGAATTACAACTTAAAAGTGATGGAAAGTTTTGATAAAAGTTGAAAAAGCATTGAAGTTTGAAAGTTTATAGGCCTCATTGGTAGAGGTTTGCGTTTAGATTGCCTAGAATGCACTTTCTGAGCATTCCAGTTAAAATTCCATTTCAGCTTTCTCTGAGGTATGACCAATTCAGTTCAAATTCCAACAAGTTTTTCAAAGTTCAGCCACTCCAAAACGAAGGAGGAGGGGAAAACTGTATTTTCAGATTTGTGATCTTTAGTAACCAGGAAAGCATCCTTCTTTACTCCCGATACCTGAACTAGTAGGCAGCATCTGTAAATTGCAATTGCAGGGGCTCACATTGCAATGCAAAGGAAGCTGAAGCACAACCCTTAGGCAAGAACCAGTGTAACGGTGGGAGTGGGAAAAAAAATAGTGCCATAGCACCGCTTTGATGTAGAAGCAACAACTGTACCTTCTGACAGAAGATGCATGGCAGTAATAAACCAGTTCCAGCAGCCCTTACACATGCAGTCTGATTACTCTGGCCAGGGTGTTAATTGGATCCTAACTGGCAGATCTGATACGTGTAGCCCAGTGGTGGGAAGTCTTTCCAAGTGATGAACTATAATTCAGCGAGCTGCTTGAAGCTTGTGTAATTTACTGCGTGTCACTTGACGAGGGGGAGCGATCCAACAGACGCCCTATTACCTGCGACATCACAAAGCTTTCAAGAGAGGGAAGAGGAGGGGGCTGATGCGGAGCGAGCGAGAGAGACAGATTTCCCTCTAAATGCCACACGATGCTCCGTTTCAGATATGGTAAGAAACATATTTGAGGAAAACAAAGGAAGACAACTTTCAGACTCGTGTAGACTTCGTTCTTATCTTACAAACTCTTGAAGATCACATTTGGTTGATTTTCTTTGAGCGGTTTTATGGCACGAGCTCTACTCTTCCTCTCGTAGTTCCCTTTGGAAAGCACATTAGGCTTAACTTCCTGTAGTAAGCATTTGATCCCTCCCTACATTGACAAAAATTAAAGTGTGGTTATCTAAATCTGTGTGGAAGATCCGTTGTACCCCTGTTAGCTCTAACAGAGGCCACATCCACTCTATCATCATTTGAAGTGCATTACACTTCCCATACTGTTTAGCTGAACTGTAAAATAAATTGATTTAGGAAAACATTCCTGTAATCTAATTAACTCTTCCCAGAGAGCATCCGCATTGATCTTTTAATCCAAACGATCACTGTGTGAGTATGTGTGTATGTATGTTAGCGTGTTTCAGGTTTAGATTAGCGCAAGTATGTGTTTATATTGTCAATGACTTACAAATCAGTGAGTGTGCATATTTGTGGACCCCAAGTAAAGCAACTCCATCAATAAACCCTTGACTGTGAAACCTTTTATTACTGACTGAATTCGCAACCCTAGCTTTACCGAAGTGGAAAGGTCAGGATCCTTTCCGAAGTCCAAGAAAAGCCCCATTCCTTGAAAATGAGAGAAATTGGTGAACATAAGTATCTCTGGCAAGGGGTTCTCTAAAGTGGCCCCATGATTCAGCATGTTCAGCCTGACTCATCTGATTCAGAAACTTCTTTCATCGAGAGTATCAAATCACTCCTTACTACCTACTTTTGCTAGTTTGCACTTATATTAATTATAGTTATTTAACATGACTCTCTCAGCTGTTGTTGCTGGAAATACACCAATGGGACATTTGTTGTGTTTTCAGGTACTGTAAAAAGGCTCAAGTCTTGCGTTTTTCGTTTTTATGATGTGTAGTTGACCGTCGAGACCCGTTTTGGCATAGCGAGAGCCCTGTAATGATTTGCTCGTTCTTCAGGAGGGCCACTGATGTTTTCTCATCACCGACCAATTTAAAGCTATTTGTTCTGCTCTCTCTTAGGTGCTGAGCCTCATGGCTGTAAAGAGCAGGTCAATGGAGATCAGCTTGTATTTGTAGTTTTCCAATAGAAATCAAAGCTTCATGGATTGCCATTTTTGGATGTGCTTGTTGTTTAAAAGGAGAGTGAGAAACAGATGTCAGTTGATGGTCTGTAAGTAAATTTTCTCACAGCACAAGTGCTTCAATTGCAGACGACTGAAGTTGATGCTTTGATTCATGAAGAATGCTATTATCTGTGAAGTTTTCTAGCACTCGTTGGGTTGTATCATTGCCTCTCACAGTCATATTCTTCATCTGGCATCCTGCGAGGGAAAAGACCCATTGTCTGTGACTGTTTGCGTCTCGACCCTTCGGCAAACGCTCATTAATTATGCCCCGTCTTGGCGAAATCATTTCGGGGAGAAGCAATTCAGCCTCTGTTCCTTTCAATTCACCCAGCTTGTCAATCATCGCCCCCCTCAGTATCCCGCGGATTGGAGGTGTTATATTCCGCCAATTATCATGTCATATACTTGAAAATGTAAATGAACGTGTGTGTAAAATTAAATTTATGGGTTGTCAGTTAAGAATAAGAACCAGGAGAGCAATTACTTATCTGCTTTCATCTTTCAAGCTCTGATATATCATGCAGAAAATGCCAGCGTTAAATGCTGGAATTAGCATTGTGCGCGACTCCGAAGTGAGTGGGCCGAAACTTCAACTTTGTCTCATCTTTTTTGTTTGGAAAAGTGATGAAATGAAGATGCGTATCATCCGTCGATCTGCTAAAAAGCTAATGAGAGGCTGAGGGGCATATCCTGATTTCATTTTATTTTATTGTCGCCTTTGTCATTTCGAGTCTCTCTTTGGCAAGTTCGAGGTGAAAATACAACACACGGTCAGCTTTGGTCGATAAATAAACTTAGCGAATTGTTCTGAAATTTACATGTTTATTGTACTCGCCGAGCCACAGTGCAGGCGAGGTGATCGTTCGTTATTCAGTCCGTAGCTCATTTAAATATACAAATAATGGGCGTAATGAGAACATCTCCTGTTGTATTTTCATGCTTTGGTCTTTATATTGTCATTTAGGCCGGCGCAGAACCCTGGCTGAACCTGGGGGTAATTATACATCACAAATGTGTCTTAAGGTTTAATAACATTGAAGGTGTAAGCATAAATTTGCATAATTACATGCAGCTGTTTAATTTGTGACTTTGTTGCTTTGTTCCTTTGCTTTTTTTTTTCTTCCGATACCTCCTCCCTCGTCACACCTTTTCTCCCCAAAGAAAGACAGACAGACAGAAAGAAAGAAAGTATATTTGTGTGTGCGCTTTCCTCCGTGGTGGTGCTCATCGAGTTTTGGGGCCAGTCTAATGAAGAATGGTGCTTGGAATTGTTTGAATATGAATATGAGTGGGGATGGAGTGTGACCTTCAGCTCCGCTACTCAGTTCATCAGGATTAGTCAAGCTTGGCGCTCAGGAGCGCTAATGCATAATGACTTCTAAAATGAAAAATGTGTAGTGACCATGCAAATGTCTCTGCTAATCAAAGAGGGGAACCTGAGCTGGGCCGAGCCAGGAGACTAAAACAAGGACGTGTCAAGGCCCTGAGAGCTCAGACGTACGGAAAGCAATCAAGCAGTCTTGATTAGCCGGTGCGAGGAGTCGCTCAGACCCCTCGCGACGTCTAATGGAGCCTCACGTCTTTTTCTCAAGCTCAGAAACCACAACAATAGAGATGTTTACCTGTCATGACGCCGAAGGCTTGGCTGTCTTGATGATAGACAGCATCTGTCGAAGCTGCTCTGTTGAACAATGCAACATGCAGCATGCTTCATAAAGTACAAAGAATGCCCTGAAGAGTCAGCTGTAGACAGGTGCATCGTCCAGGAGAGGAAAATTGTTTCTGTCTTTCTCAAATAGCATTTGTCTGGCAATTAGTTTTATTCTGTTCATTGTGTAGTTTTAGACGCGAGCGAAGAATCGAGCCAAATTAATGTAAATGTTGCATGTTTCCAGAAAACTTGCTTGCTTTATTTCAATGCTGGGTTGCGAAAATATTTCCTTTTTGTTTTTTTTGGCGGAAAAGTTATCTCGCACAGTTTGACAGCTGGTATTTTAATGATTCTTATCATTTAAAAAATGACATGAATTTTGAAAAATGACATCTCGTGGAAGACTTGTGCCTCTGGCTGCTTTCTTCCAAGCGTGCAACTTGGAAACTTCAATGCGCAGCGAGAGGCAACTGGTAATTCCCCTCACCTCTGTAAAACAGAATACTTCACAGCAGCTCAGCTTCAATCAGGAGTTTCTCACAGACTTTTCAAAGCTTCGGCAGCCTGAATCTATGCTACTTAGCTTAGCTGCTCCTCAACAGGCCATGTGTCCGCTTACGACCCACAGTCGGCTCTGGAGATGTGCGTCTTCCTGCCTGCCTTGTGTGTTGTAGCATTAGAAATCGCCTGGGGGAGTTGAAGGGTTCAGCTAATTAAGGTCCTCCTCTATTTAAAGCGCAATGCTTTTCCCGTTGGGAGTAGCTGACAGAAAATATATAGAGTAAGAAAGTACACATGCACTGCCAAATGACTACATATACTGCACTCGCACCATTTCCAGAGAGTTCGAGAAGCGCATGACTTTACAGTTGAAGAGTTTTCACGAGACATGGCTAATGTGTTGTTCTCTCCGTCTCTCTTAGGTGCCAGTGTCTGTGGCAATGATGAGTCCACAGGTGATCACACCCCAACAGATGCAGCAGATCCTTCAACAGCAGGTCCTTTCCCCCCAACAGCTCCAAGCCCTCCTACAACAACAACAAGCAGTCATGCTTCAGCAGGTGAACACACATAAACACCCTCTTACTTACTGTCCCATATGCAGTCATGTTTTGAAATGGTAGCATACAGATCCTCTCTGTCCTTGACATACTAAATACGGACAGGCATGTAATTAGTTGTTTTCAGTGGGGACGTCTTTTGGGGACAAATGGAGCACTGAAACAAGAAAGTAAAACAGAGTTAGCTATACGTGAACTCTTGCTTTCACATGTTGTTTGGTTCATTAATGTATCCGCATTGCAAGGCGCATCGCGTTTTTATTGTTGCAGTAATAGCTGATAAAGTGAACTTTCAAATTCATGCTCTCCTACATTCTTCACTCCTTCTAAAGGTTTTCCTTTCTATCATAATGAAGCAGCAGTTTGAAGATTGAGCAAGTTTGTTAAAGTTAGTTAAACTATCAACATGTTAGCTGAAGTAGCTTCATTCACTAACAGAATGAATTAATATGACAATTTACATAAAAATAGTATTACAAACTAGTATGACATAAAATTATGTCTTGGGCCTGACTTATGAAATATGAGAAGAATAAATTTTTGTGTAAAAGTGTAAACTGTTTACAACTATTTATGTAGTAATGGTTTTACAAACAATTTAACACAAATTTCATCTGCTGTTTCATGAATGAGGTCCAAATGTTTGCTCTTTAGGGATTTGGACTAGCTAATTGTTGTTTAATTTAACTTAGTTCAGTAATTATTTTGTAACGTTAATGTGTATCTATTTTACAAGTTTACGTCCATATTGTATGTGACGGTTTATGCAAAATGTTCACAGCTGATGTTTTTGTGAAAGATCCAATGTTCGAAAATATTTACTGTAAATACTATGATTTTCAGTTTGATTTCACTTAATTAAATGCTTTGTTTGAAGGATTTTTTTTTGTCATGTGTAACGTTTTACACAAAGTGTTTTATATGGGTGTTTTGTTCACTTGTGATTTTGATAATCCTTTTTGTTCGCAGGTAAACATCAACGTTTACCTGATTTTACGAATTTATTTTTATCTATGGAAAGATTTCAAGCACAGTTGCTGTGCTTTGATCACTGAAGTGCTGCATTGTTTTTCTGTGGTTTCCATAATAAATTGATTCTGTATGACATGGAAATGCAACTACTACACCACTTTACATTCCCGAAAAGCCAAGACTAAAGAACGGTGTCTTGTCGTTTCATCACATACGAAATTATAATAACACTGAGCCTCATTCACTAACAGAATGAATTAATATGACAATTTACATAAAAATAGTATTACAAACTAGTATGACATAAAATTATGTCTTGGGCCTGACTTATGAAATATGAGAAGAATAAATTTTTGTGTAAAAGTGTAAACTGTTTACAACTATTTATGTAGTAATGGTTTTACAAACAATTTAACACAAATTTCATCTGCTGTTTCATGAATGAGGTCCAAATGTTTGCTCTTTAGGGATTTGGACTAGCTAATTGTTGTTTAATTTAACTTAGTTCAGTAATTATTTTGTAACGTTAATGTGTATCTATTTTACAAGTTTACGTCCATATTGTATGTGACGGTTTATGCAAAATGTTCACAGCTGATGTTTCGTGAAAGATCCAATGTTCGAAAATATTTACTGTAAATACTATGATTTTCAGTTTGATTTCACTTAATTAAATGCTTTGTTTGAAGGATTTTTTTTTGTCATGTGTAACGTTTTACACAAAGTGTTTTATATGGGTGTTTTGTTCACTTGTGATTTTGCTAATCCTTTTTGTTCGCAGGTAAACATCAACGTTTACCTGATTTTATGAATTTATTTTTATCTATGGAAAGATTTCAAGCACAGTTGCTGTGCTTTGATCACTGAAGTGCTGCATTGTTTTTCTGTGGTTTCCGTCACCACTGCTGCTGGCTGCTGTTGTTGTTGTTTTTGTTGTTGTCTTCGCCAGCTTATGCAAGAGGCTCCACTGGCAGTAAACAGGGCTCGGGAGGGGATGGGGGGTGGGTGCTGTAAATCTCTCTCAGCTTCTCTCCCTCCGTCACCCCCTCCCTGTGGCCCCATAAGCTGTAATGGACCATTACAAATGCAAGACAATTAACTATCAATGGCGGAAGGAGGGGGCTCCACACACCCTCCCACCCGCATCTCACACACAGATTTCAGTCCACGCAAACAGGCGAAGAGAACGAGACGGCTAGGTTTCACTTGGGCCACATGTATAACCAAACACACTTTCTCCTCCATGTGTGTGATTAGTGTGTGTATGCTCACTCGCTCTCTCTCTCTCTCTCACTATAGCAACAGCAGCAGCAGCAGCAGCAGCAGCAGTTGGCGGCACAGCAGCTGGTCTTTCAGCAGCAGCTCTTGCAAATGCAGCAACTGCAGCAGCAGCAGCACCTGCTCAACATGCAGAGGCAGGGCCTCCTCTCTCTGCCCCCCGGCCCAGGACAGCCCACCCTCCCCGGACAGACTCTGCCGCCAGGTAACATCCTCACGTGATCATCTGAGAGCGTGCGTGTGTGTCTGCGTCCTCTTTTAAACTCCCTTTCACTCGACACAAACTCCAAATCCCTTTTCAGACATACGTGATCACAAACCTCCTGATAAAGGGTCTTGTGTGCACATGAACACAAAGGCATGTTAACAAACACAAACCAAACAGCCGTTTAAACTATTTTTCATGTGCGACACGAAAAACAGTTGATGTGTTTGTCCCCATTTGCAAAAGGAAAATGCTCATTTCTGCAGGGAGAGGGCTGTGTGTTTTTGTTTGTTTGCTCATCAATAGTTTATTAATGTCTGGATAACAGTTGAAATGAGACGAAACCTCCCACGAGACAGCGCGCTATTGAACGCAGTGCCTTCTGGTATATCAAACGCATGGAGGTGCAACTTTCAGTGGCAGGAACACACAGCTCACCTCAATGTACATTAAGTATTTAATACCTAGCTTTTCTTTTGAAATTGCTTTGCTGGCACGGCTTGTCATGTAAATAGAATACACTATGCCGGTGTGGCATTTCCTGAGCGTTTATACACGCGACGGCCCTTTTATATGCTCCGCGGCTGCTGTAAGACATAGATTCGCATATTTCTCCATGTATTATTCAGTCTGTAGCGGCCATATGTTAGTACATAGCAACAGCCGCTGACTTCACTGGGGGTGGATGTGTTGTGTAATTGGTTTCAAGTACGTAGCGTCTTCACAGAAAGCCCTTTCTTGAGAGAGATCTCTTTAGAGGCAGAGAAAAAAAAGGAAAAAACAGAGAGAGAGACAGGGAAATAATTTAAGAAATAGGTAAGACTCTTTTCTCGTGTGTTGGCGGAGTCTCTCGGGTCCACGGTCGTTCGTAATCACGGAGTGTGTTGTGTTGTCAGAGCCAGCTGCTTTCTAAGATGTGCTTGATCGATAACGGCAAGATAAAACAGCCGATGAGGTTTGTGTGTGTGAGCGTGTGCCGCACACAAACACACGCCGTGCTGGTCTGCATAGCCTCACTTTCGCACATTAGCCCCTCAGCACCATTAGAACTGGAGGTCGTAACTTAACGCAATGTCTTTTCACAACAGGTTGTGTCCTTAAAAACGCCCGTTCCACCGCAAATGAATCTCCTGGTGAAAATTAAAGCGCAGGGGCCGGTTTTCTGCTGTTTACACAAGTTGTCCGTAATGGCTTTACAAGGTGAAAGTCTGTGGAAAAAATGTTGACGGGTGATTTTACTTGGCCAGGCCATTTGTTTTTTAACACACTCGTGTCTCCTCAGTAATACTCTGGATCAATAATCACAAGGTGGCGTGATGTCGAGGGGAGAGCATGTGTGTTTTTTCAGCTTTTCTGAGCATCAAGTCCACCAAATTGAGCCGGTTTGACCCAACTTTTGGTCATAGTATCCTGACAGGTACCACCACCATGTTTTCCACCACATTTTTAATGCTCATTATTTCTCTTTCAGTTCGCTGCATGAAGAGACCGGAGCATCACACTCCCTCTATGGTCATGGAGTGTGCAAGTGGCCAGGATGTGAAAGTATTTGTGACGACTTTGGACAGTTTTTGAAGTAAGTGATCATCAAGAGACCATAAGTGCTTAAAAAATTTCAGTTGGCCTAAAGCAGTAATTTATCTGTTTTCCCTTTATGTCTCTATTTTAATGCTTATTAGATGCTTAGTTGTTACTTTTGTTAAAGTTTTCATACCTCAGTTCTCGCACTTAGCTGTAAATCCACAAAACGGATGGTGAAACAGATTTCTCAAAGGTGCCTGTCAGCCCATCATAGGTGGTGCTCAGAAATGACCGTGCATCTCCACGGCTACGTGAGTGGATGATGGGCTGGTGTTGAGCGGCTGAAGCTAATGGCAACCCACATAGCCATGCGGTGTTGTCATGGCACAGCTAACGGAGTGAAATGAACTCTTCATGCTCCATCAACAATTTAGTTAATTAGCTCATTTGTAATTGGTCGGCTTTGTTGCCGCGACGCAAGAGGGGGGACATCAAAGGAGAAGGTGTTTGCAGTGCTGGAGATTGCAGGTTATCATGTTGCTACTCCGAGGAAAGAGCCTCACCATCAAAGAATGGAGAAAAGGGTTCATTTGAATATTCTAATTAGATCCGTAATTAACTGTGAAATAATAATCTGGTGCGTTTGGTGGGTGTAAATGTCCACGTCAATTTTTGTAAACTGCTTTTGAGAGTGGCGACGTCGTTCTATTCTTTTATAAACCAGCTAGACACAGTCTAAAGAGTCCACTCCAAACAAGTCAAGAATTTAGCGCCTTTGAGTGTGTTACCATTTAACTAGTTGGTCATGACTGTCAACCAAAAGACTGCATGTACCTCAAAGTACAGGGTTAATTATCCCCGTCTAGCCCATTGACGTTCATTTATTGTGGCACAGCATACATCAGAGGTCATGTGATAATTTCCCGCCAAATTCAGCTGGTATGCAAATCAATGGTTGAAGAGAACTAAATAAAAACGCTCGTTGTCTGACAGCCTGTGCAGTAGGATGCCATTACAGCAATCATCCTCCAAATCTTCGTAGAAATGGGGACGAGACACCCAGAGTCGGAGACGCCTGTACTGTAACTCGTACATGAAAACGCTCCCACAAAAGGAAGCGTGATCTGAGATGGCGGGTGGCGCTGTGCCTTGGAGGAGCGATTGTCGGTGTCAGAAGGAAGCTTTTAATGTCGTTCGGAGATGCCAGTCACTGCTGCGTATCATCCAGGTACACACGCTTAAAATGGTTTACATAAAATAGGTGTCAGATTCAAATGGCACCTTTGATGGGGAAGCAGGGGGCGGAGGGATTCACCCAACCTGTGCGGGCTTGTAGCTTGCGGAGAAGAAACCAGCCATGGTTTTGTAATCTTTGTTGTGTAGCTGAGAAAGTTGTCAAGATCAGCATTTAAGCGCAGGTCTGCGCTCTTTCATGCGCGGTGCACCAGGAGAGGGGTAGCCAAGAGGTGCCTGGCATGTTTATATTAGCTCTGAAGTTCAAATAGACGTGCGTGAATGTGCGTGCAAGCACGCGGGTACGCCTCGAGACGTGTGTATTAATGCAACGAAGCAGGCATCTTGTGGGTCTGATTCGGGCAACTTATTTGGGGGTTATGTGCTGCTAAAAGAGGGGGCTAATGAATTCATAGCGTTCTAATGTTGTTCTGCCACGCAGGCGATTTTGTTATTGTTTAAGCTCCAGATTGCTGCCCTAGTTCTCTTATTGATTTCCTCTCACATGTTTGAGAAGAGTCAGGATGAGTAGGAAGAGAAAAATACAGACATACCCGCTGGCCTGTAATAAAGATTGACGTACTGTCAATGCAGGCTTGCCATTTGCTGTAGCATCTTTCCCATGTGGACGCAATATGAGATTGTGTATCTCAATAAACAAACTCTTCCCCATTCTAATGCAGGGAAATGAATCGTTCTTTTCATCTATTTAACATTTAATACTGGTGAAGCGACCTGCTGAGCTTCCGCCACTTAGAGTGCTACGTCTTAAACTGGGCGCTAATGAAAGCCAACAGGAAGTCCCAGGTTAGATTAATCAAACCCATGTCCAGTTGAAGGTCACGAGTCCTTTAGAAATTGCGAGTCATTTGAGAATTAGCTAAATGATTTGATTGGTCCATGTTGGCTAGAAAGGCCTAAGTAATTCCTACTTTAACTCATTCCGTCTGTGGTTTTCGATGCACTTCTCAGTCCGTTGCGTACCTGTCCATCTGTTTCTTAGACCATCAGAGCCCTCATTCCCCATCTCAAAACAAAAATCAATATGCCTATAAAGTGACCCATAAATTACAGGCGGCTCCAGAGATGTTTGCGCAGCTGGCGGCCCCGTCTCATTCTCCTCTCACCTCTCTGTTTGAACTAAACCCAGCGCCACAGGCTCATTAAGAGATATTGGTGACTGCATCTAACCCCCCTCTAACCCCCTGCTTTTATCAATGCATAGTCAAACACCTACTGTCTGAATATTTCATTGCCATGCAGTAATCTGGATGTAATCACCAGCACTAACTAGCTCTCGCTAACGTTAGTACTCGCTTAAAACTCTGTTGTGCTGTATTTCATTCTGCTGGCTATTAAAAAAGGTAATTGCGACATCATTTCTCAGAATTGCTACTTACTGTCTCATAATTGTGACTTTATAGCTTACACTATTGGTACTGAATTTATAACAATTTATTTCTTATAATAATTGTAACACAATTTATTTTTTCTATTAATTGTGACTATATATTACAATTGTGACTTTATATTTTCCCATTCTCTTTTTTTTTTCTCAAAATTTTTGACTGTGTCTAACAGTTGGGACTAGTAATTCCTTTATTTTTCCACATAATTGCAACATATCTTTCAATTGTGACATAGTGTTTCACAACTGCGACTTTGTATCTCACAGTTGCGACTTCATGTCTCAGACTTGTGACATTCTCATATCTGTGCTTATATATCTCAAAATTATGACTATTTTTGATAATTGTGACTCTTTATCTTCAAAAATGCATAAAGAACCTAGTATTTTACACTTTCTGACAATTACATTTATTGTATTTACTCTTGGAGAAGGAAACGTGCTTCCATTAGAAAAGAAAACCTCACGTTCCTAAAAGAAACAAGGAAACGAGATTAAGATCTAGATGGCCGCTAATGAGAAATGGGGCGTGCGAGATTAGATGTGTTATTTAGCGAGTTACCTGTCTGTACAGCGGAACTAGCCAGTCGTGGCTTTTGAAGCAACTGTAATTTATGACATCCACCATACATCAAGTGCGTAAGATAGCATTATGAGCATTGAAATGAAAAGGGTATTTGCAGCATTAGTTCCCTTCGAGGGACCTGATTACATGATTAATGAAATGCTCCTTTGCATGCGCATTCTGAAACAGCAATTAGGCACGGGGCCGGAGAAAGGCACCAACTCTCCAGTCATCCTAGGCGTTTTTTTTTTTTTTCCTCTGTTCAATGCTATCTCACTCTTGATTTATAATGGAGAATATCTGAGCATTAGACCTGAAACGGTTACAATAGCAAATGCGGGCGTGATGGAATGAAATAATTTTAAATGGGCACGGGCGTAATTGAAAGGTAGCGGCGGCCATTGTGTTCTCAAATGTCCTCTGCTTTGATTGGCGTGTTTGAGGAGGATTATGAATACATTGTTATTTTGCGTTTTGCACATAAACAATAGCTTGCGCTATGAATAGAGAATGAATAGAGAAAATGCTTAGTAGTGTTAAATCTAGCTCGGTGTGGATGGGTGGGTGTTTGCGTGCGAGTGTATGTGCGCAATTTAAGCTAACACTAATGCACTGGAGGCTGTACTGTAAATGATCATTGAAGGGTCTGCAAGCTAACCTATAATTACAGGAAAGAGAGTGGCAGCATTGGCATTTCACAAGCATGTCTTCTAAAAGAGCGCTTTGTGGGTTTGTCACCAATGATAATTTAGATAGAGGCTCATTACCGAACATCACAACACTTTTAAAAACCTTTTCGCCTCCGTGCGTTCGCCGGGAATAAAGGTCTATTTTAATGGTGGGCTTCTTTTGTGTCCTGCAGACAAAATCCAATCAAGGAAAACCGCCATTGACTGCTCCTGCAGTCTGAAGTGGGGTTTTTTTCTGCGTAATATTCTAATGAAAGGATGAGTAGATACATTTAATATGTCGACGGAATAATGCACTCTTCGTAGGAGGCACTTTTTAAACGTTACTCGAGTTAAATTGCATTTATTGTATTTATTTCTTGATAAATGTAGAAGACAAAACCTCTGCGCGAGGCCTTTTGTACACCAACATCCCTCATAAGCCGTTGTGTTCTGAGCGCTGCCTCTCATTCGCATGACAGTCATGCTATTGTGATGTTAAACACCGGCTTTCAGCGAGCGTGGGACACACTTGTTAGATGTGTCCCAGTTTGTTAAAAGCTAATGGGATGGACGTCCTGTAATCCAGAAATCATATTCCTCAACAACAGTGGTAGTTGATCAACAGCAACCGTCTATTATTAGTTGAGCCTGTGTATGTGTGTATGAGGGGTTGGTTTCTCATCCGTTTCTCCTGTTCGCCTACAGGCACCTTAACAATGAACATGCTCTGGACGACAGGAGTACCGCCCAGTGCCGAGTACAGATGCAGGTGGTACAGCAGCTAGAGATACAGGTACAGTAGACACATGAATATAAGCATAAACACGTTTACAGGAACAGTTCACCTCAAAATGACACAAAAAGCATGTGTTTTGAAAAATGTATTAGTGTTTTGGTGTCCATACAATGAAAGTCAGTTTGGTTTAGTGTTGGTTTGTTTCATACATGTTTAGAATAATATGAATGTGAGTAAATTACAGAATTCTCTTTTTTGGGTGAACTATTACTTTAAAGACAACATGAAATGGCATTCACAATGCATGCGTGATTTGTAAGCTGATTTCTCTACGAATTGAAAATATTTCTGCATTATCAAAACATTAAATCAACCTGACTCCGCTTAGCTTTACCTAGTTTGTGTACTAACGTATACTTCAAACTTTACATTGTATATGTCATTTGGACAAAAACCTCTGATAAATGAATTAATGGAAGCATTGGCAGGTTGCGAGCGGGACTGTCTGCTAACTGCTTATCTAGTGGTAGACAGTGGAAGTGTTCAGGAAACGTGTTCGAAAACAATCATTATTTATATATTAGTCCTTAATTTAGAGCAAGACTGGATTTTATGCATCAGACTTTGATGGAATTGTGAAAAGTGGGTGTTCAGTACCATGTTTTGCTTGATTTTGATTTCATGTTGTCTTTAACACACACTTGTTCAACTTTAACTGCTTTTTTGCAGCATAACACCAAACATTTAGTTAATTAGCTTGTTGCCATAAAAAACTTGAAGCTCATAAAGTGAAAGAATGCACAAGGGACACCTTGAGCAAATCCATCCCAACAAAGGTGAAAGCCATCACAGGCCTTTATAATTGAATCATGGTTTGTGCTTATTTTCTATCCCTTCCAATTAATATGCGTGCATCTGGGCTGGACTGTGTTAATTAAATACACTTTGCACCTGAAGGAACCTCTAAAGAGAGCCACTATTTTCAGTAGCTGGAGCGTGACCTTATTAAGGTGTCACGCTGGCGAGATAATGAGAGCAGTGATTGAGGGATGCTATTACTCAGCGCTGCGGCCATCTCTCTCGCCAGTTAACGCTCTGTCCTTTGCCTTACACCTTCCGGTGCATCATGGGATGCGGTGCACAGGGTTAAAATCCATCTTTCTTCTGTTAATTTCAAATAAATAACCCGTTGCGCTTGCAGAATAATTGCGGCCTGTGCTTATTTTTTATGTAAATCTAGCTGTTCCCTTGCGTTTGTGCACGCAAAGAGCCGCCTCGCCTTTGTAGTGCGGATTGCTTTCTGACCGTGGCTCCTCTAAGCCTTCGTGATGCCCATCTGAATGCAAGCCAAGCGTTCCCCTCAACCTTTAAAGGTTTTTACGCTCTGCAAAACCCTCCCTATTTATTTGTTGGGCTCTTGAAACAGAACAATGAATAATTCTTGTTTATATGTAAAATAACAGACGGACATCACGATTTCTCCCTTGACTTGTTCTCTTGTTCGCTGATACCACAAAGCCGGCGTGCTTACACTGTGACCAATTACAGTAGAGCTGCTGTTTTCTGTCCTTCTGGGCTTTTTTCCCCACTCTTTTTGGCATTTTTTTGTCCTCCGTCAGTGGTAATGAGGCCCGGTTCAGAGCTCGAATGCCGGCTCACCGGCGGAGTTCAAGGCGGTGCGCCATGCGGGCCGGTCCCTGTCACTCTCTGTGAGTTAGATTGATGATAACAGATCGCCGGGGCACTAACTGGACCTCGGAGGACCCGGGAGGAGGCAGGGAGGCGGGACCGACTGGCACTCTGTTTGCGGGACCCCTTCACCTCTCTGCAGCTGCTAGATCCAGTCCAGCCCTAACAGTGTCCACAGGACTTTGAGTCGCCGACCAGGACCCTCTAATTTATGGCCTGAGTAGCTTGTTACTGTCAGAGCTTTGCTGACCTAAATTCTGCTATTGACAAAAAGATGAAGTGCTATTTGTTTTCCGTGACCTCCGAGCACCACCTTCAGCTCTCCATCACCGCACCACGAGGAATGGTTCTCTTATCTTTGCTTTATTCTGCCTCTTTCTCACTCTCCGTGGTTTTCAACTGGTTTTGCTTCAGAACCCAAGGACATCGAGCGTCCAACACTGTATAAAGGTGCTGCTTATCTAAAAGTAACAAAGATGTCCTAAAAATCACACATAAAAGGGAATCACTTTGCTGTAAGATTATATACCTGAATTTTACATTTTCACACATACTAGTCTATTTTAAACTTTAAGAAGAATTAATATTCACCTGAATTTATACATGCTGTAAAGAAATACAGTTTGTTGTTATAGTTCATGATGCCTAATGCATTTTAACAAGGATCTGTATGGAAACATTTATTAATACTGTTTATTAATATTGCCAAGACCTATATAGGCCACAATTTTGTCACGACAAAATTCTAACTCTTGTTTAAATGCATAAAACAGACAAATGTTGCATATTACCAACTGACAGGTGAACTTGCTCTGAAATAGTTGTTTGAGAAGATACATAATGTGTTTCCTCTCCAAAAGTTGATAAGCCTGTTTATTGTTCTATCCTAACTATACTCAAGTGTATGGCTAATTGCATTTTTTATTTGCATTTAGCATTGTTGTTTTGCAGCTGTCCATGACCCCACTAGAAAAGACCTCTGGCTGGTTTTGTGTCACGATCCGCCGGTTGAGAACCACTGCTTTATGTCTGTGTCTTTGAGGCAAACTTAAGGAAGCCGGTCTGGGCCGTATGCAGGATTTATTACAAGCAGACAAGCTTGATAACAAGATGTATTACTGTGGTAGTCTGGGGGAAATCACTCATTTCTAAAACCGGTCTGTTTTCTTTTTTTCTCTCTCTTCCTCCCTCTTTCTGCTAACAGCTTTCTAAAGAACGTGAGCGTCTTCAGGCGATGATGGCACACTTGCACATGAGGCCCTCAGAGCCCAAACCATCACCAAAACCGGTGAGTGCATATTGGTACGCGTACAGTAAACAGGACTCAGGATGGTAAATGTGCTCTCTAAACACGGCTGGAGGATGAGAGGAGAATGGGATTTGTAATGCCTGCTTTCTTGGGACCCTATCAGGACCGAGAGAGCATTAAATCATACACCCGATCTCAGCCAAAAATGCAGAGCCATTACACTCTGATGGCTTTAGCACAGCAAACAACCTGTTGGCCGGTAAAAGCTGTTTAGCGCCGTGACCACAGGCACACTTAAAGTAGGGGGAAGACATTTCGTTTCAGAAAACAAACAGTTTGAAATGATAGATGGAAACTGCGAGAAGATTATCTGTAAAGAAATAACCCGTAATCTGTAAACATTCAGAGATATAGCTGTGTATTTGGAGAAAAATGGAGCAATATATGAAAACGGCCCATCTGTCTGGATCCGATTTCACTCAAAGATGTCCTTTAACCATTAATCAAAAGAAAAATACAAAAGACACGTTGTGTTGTGCTGGAAATTAAAGTGTTTACAAAAGAGAGTAGGCTGTGATAAATATTGTTTATTGGAATTATTTATTAGCTATTCAATTTTTTGCGGGGGGAAACATTGTACAGTTTGCCGCCGCTTAGCAAGTAGCTAATTTCACCAGCATAATTTTTTCTCATCACCTCCCACCGTATAAAGCAGATAATCACAAGACAGAATAATTATCCTGTAAATCCATCAGGAATCGACTGCTCACCTCTGTCGATTTATTATTCAGGGGTTTTTTTTCCCGTTTTCATCCTCAGAACTCCAGCAGCTCGGTGAAATCGACTCTAATAAAAAACGTTCAGCCTATAATCCACGACCGCATATGAATGAATAATATTAATGAAGTATTACATTACATAAACCGCACATGAAAGGACTGCTAATTGCATTTGATGATGAGCAATTAATGGCGAGTTCTTAAATAATCAGCGAGGGTCTGCGATTTTTTTTCAGCTCATTCCTTTTTGTCTTGGTGCAAGTGTCGGCTCACGCAAATGCTTTAATGTTATCTGTTTCGCAGGTACAAAAGAGAACACATGTATCCTCCCCACAAAAAAGGATGTTACAGATAATATGCCGGTACTTTCACGCCCTCGTACACACAGGGCCGACAGTGAACCGTCCCACACATTTGATAAATATTAATAGTGCGAATTTATTAGCACGGCAAAATGAGCACCGGCAAACCCTCAACAGCTATCAGTAGCCCAACACAAGGTGCTGGTACACTGTTATACGACCCCATTTAAACTCTGAATGGCACTTCATTAAATGTTACCTTTTGGCCATGCCATGGATGGCTGAAAATCAAAGTTACCAAGGCTGCTAGTCCTGAATAATGAGGGGCTCTTTTTTCCCAACCCCTTCCTTTCCTCTCAGCCAACCTTGAATATATATTCAGATGAACAGCAGTAGTAAAGGGCTGATCCCTGTGTCTCATTCACTCCTGCTCAGTTAAGCTTTAATAAATTCCATTTTGCAAACACCAGATTGTATGCCTGCAAACATGTTACGCTTGTTGCCATAACCAGGTGAAGAGAGGGGAGGAAAATCTTGTCTTAACATTTTAAATATACATGCAGCACACTCTCTATCTGTTTCCCCGCTCGCTCACTACTGATAGGATTTATTGTGAAGTGCTTTTTTGCAGTGTTTGACAGTGTATCAAAACCTTTTTAGAGGAGTAGTGTGTAATTACGGGCTGATGTGGTGGTTTGGCCGCAATGAGAAAGATATTAAGAGAGACAATCCTCAAATCTGGTGCCGTGACCCGGCCCCTGACGAATTATATAATGTATCATATGCATCAAACTGCATTTTTGCATGCACGGACAAAGATGGGAATTCAAATGGCAATAAATTTAGCACAAACACTTGAAGGGGGGGGGGGGGCTTTGTAACAGTGACAATGAATCAAATTCAAAATGAAAGAATATCTGTTGTAGAAAATGTCAGCTTTTATTTTATTTTATTTTTTATAGTGTGCAACAACGAATTGTTCATAATAAGACCAGGAACACCTTTAGAAGTAATAGGGTCAATTTTGATTTCTTATTGACTTTAAGACACAAGTATTTACTTAGCATGTAATGTAATGTCAACAACACAACCGTTTACCCTTTTGCTGAGATGTCCCTCTGGTAGACAATGCGTCTTTGTCATTAATTTCCTTTCAAGGTCTTAGTTCCAGTCATTAGCCAGGATACAACATTCCCCTAGAGGAGTCATTGATTTCTCGCGAAGTGGTATAGCGCATGCCACTCTCTGTGTTGGCATTATCTCATTATCGTTAAGTGGAGCTGTAATTGTCTATAGAGCAGCCGCCTGAGAATAGCCGGCTTGACATTTCATTGTATTTATCAACACGTGCCACAAACGATTGTTGATGTCCAACCGGCGGTCATTTTCTATTCTGACAGCACCGGAATTCTGCTTGCCAATTCACAATTAAGGCAATTTGGTTTGAATATGTAATGATGTCATTACCATTTGAAGGAGTTAACGGCGAGACTAAAGGTCAGGGTTTTCCACTCGGGTGAAGTTGGTACACAAAAAAAGCAGAGGATATGTGCATATTGATAAAAAAACCTGACTCTTGTGTTTGGGTGGTAAGACAGGAAGAGAGCGAGATGGATAACTAGCGAAGCACCAGGTTATGGCAGGAAGCCAGGTGATGTTCTTCTCACCGCGTGTGTGTTTTGCATCCAGGGAGCTCTTATGGGATAGAGATGGGCCGGGATAACTCAGCCTGATCATTAGATAATCTTTAACAGCGTGCTCTAATTAGAATTCTTATGATACAATTTCATCCTGTAATTAGTGCAGATTGGCTGCTTCCTCCTTCGCTTATTAGGGGAAACACAGCTGTAGGAATGAGCCAGCACTCGTTTAAATCCCCCTCTCTCTCTCTCTTCTACAGCTGAATCTTGTCTCCAGCGTCACCATGTCAAAGAACCTCCCGTCTGTCTCGCCCCCCAACTTACCTCAGACGCCCACCACGCCCACCGCTCCAGTCACACCCCTTTCCCAGATGCCCCAGGTGCCCAACGTCCTCAGTCCCGCCAATGTACCCAGCATGGGCGCCATGCGCAGACGCCACACCGACAAATACTCCATGTCCTTGTCCTCAGGTTCGTAGATGCTTTTTTTTGTTCGCTCTTCATGCAGATGGGGCTAAAATCAAATCATCAATATTCAATGCATTTTAATTACAGGCAAATATAAAATGATGCAATATTCAAGAAGGCGATGCATGTAAAAACATCTTGTTTGATGTTTATATTTACTGGTCTTCCGCAAGTGTTGGAGCAGCGGGGAAGGCATGAATTATTCAAACACATACAAAATATCGACGCAGGCTCTAATTTCACGAGCGTGTTAATGTTTAAGATTTCTCCAGAGAGAGATTAATTAAAAATGTATTTAGTTGGACATGTAAAATGCTGATTTGAAGTGCCAACTCGCCTCTCGTTTTAATTTGATAAAATCCTGAATGCATTCCTGGCGGAGACACGTTTATCAATTATCCCAGGTGGCGACACTTGGGTTTATTTATTTATTTATTTTATTTATCTGCTGCTTTCTTTATTTTTTTTCTCCGCAGAGATCGCCCCAAACTACGAGTTTTACAAGAACGCTGACGTCAGGCCACCGTTTACTTATGCAACCCTCATCAGGCAGGTGAGTGGGAAATAAATTAGCTTTAGCCTGATTAGATTGTAATTAATTGCTGCTTGAATTAAATCTGGGTGAGAGCGCCTCGACGTACTCCAGTTTCTAACGTGCCGCTTAATGGCATCTCGTCGCAGGCTGTCATGGAGTCAGGTGACATGCAGCTAACGCTCAACGAAATCTACAGCTGGTTCACGCGCACCTTCGCCTACTTCAGACGCAATGCCGCCACCTGGAAGGTAATGTGCTACGGAGGCCTGCAAGGGACGTGGGCCGATTAACAGCAATCGCGCCTCTTTTTAACCTGCCTCCTGAAAAGGACGAATTCTCTCTTTATCTCGCTCTTGCTCACTCTCTCTGTGACAAGTGAAAGAATAATTCAGCCTCTGATATCGTTTTCTAATTTGGTGCAATTAATAGCCGAGTCTTGACGGGGAGGTGTGCGCTCTGACGCACTAATTACTAATCAGCCACTCAATCATCAGCACCTTTTGTTAGACATGGCGTATTACCGCTTTCTCAGTGTCTCCTTTTCATTTTTTCTCCCTCCCCACCCTGCATTATTATTGGTTAATTAATTTGAAAGATGGCTGTTTGCCATGTAGACGCACACCGCTACATCCCTTTTCTTGTTGTTGTTGATGTCGGCCGAGGCTTCATACACACTATAACTCATGCAGCAAGACAAAAAGCAAAAGAGAACAAGACAAATGGAGAGAGGGGTTAAGAACCGCTTGGCTCTAAAGCGCTAATGCACCCTTCATCCAGGAAACACACTTTATTTCCCAGTACAAAAGGCCTCATTTGTATCTCTGTCCCAACAAATACATTGTCAGACGGGATGAAAAGAAAAGGAGGATACAATAAAAACCATCCTCTATTTTTAGACAGGAGAGCGCGGTGCGTGTCGATAAGATACACAGCCGTTTTTCCCTTTCTATTTTAACTCCGACGCAGGTCCTCTCAAAGGTTTCTCCAGCTCTCATCAGCATGCGAAGCATTTCCCAGCACTAGATTTAGCAAAGTGAATTAATTTGGATTTGGCTTGCTAATGATGCTGGTGTATGATTACAGCTCCACAAGGGTGTGCAATAGCTCCCCGTACAGATACATGCTGGGCCACGACTCATTTACTGCCGGAGTGTGTGTTTGGAGATGCACGGATGAGCGTTTTTAGCCATTTTATGGCCTTGTAGCCGCATATGCATCCCTGTTTCCAGCTCTCTTCGCTTCTGTCCTTATCAACTCCATATTTTAATCTGGTCCCGACTGGAACAAAGAGGCAAAGCAGGGGCTTTCGGCATATTCGAGTCCCTCCTTCTACAATAGCGGAGCAGGAATTTCCATTCGGAGCCTCCCTGCTCTTTTGTGAGGGCCCGGGCACGGCCGGCTGGTGACGGGCTTGTCATTTGATTAACAGAGAGAATTTTTAAAAAGGAATGAAAGGTGATTTAATATCTGTGCTTGGTCTCATCAGCTCAGCTTGGGGATCGAGCTCTCAGCCCCGCCAGCTTATTAGTTATAACTATATAGCATGCATAATAAAACTGCTCATTTGCTCATTAATATTAAAATTATCATATTCAGAGCCATGGGCATTAAGATCAATCAAATCCTGGGATTTTCAGGTCAGATGCGAGATCTGCTTATGAGGGTTTTTTTTTTTTTTTATTCCTCTCTCCCTTTTCTTAGAGCAAAAAAACACCCGCCCCTCAAATAAAACATGAAAAAAAATTTAATATGAGCATATTATTTGGCATTATTTGGCTTCTTTGCTACATGTTTTAATTAGATTATTTTATGGCGACGTACAATACTCGCCATATTTCTTTATTTTTTATTCATGCTTCTTGATTATGAAAGAGTGTTTATGGGTCATTTTGATCAATTGAATAAATATATTTTTGGAATTTTAATTATTGCTTGATTTTTCTTTTTTCCTTTTAATTTATAAACCCGAAGTATCTACATTTCCTAATTATTACAGCCATTATTCTTTAAATAACTGTCATAATTTAAATAACTGCCATAATTTGTTAGAACAACAATAGTGTTTAGCAGTAGATAATAGTCTGTGATATGATTGGTTCATATTTTTCGTCAGCTATGAGGCCTTGATTACACCAACAGAAAGCTTTAAAAAATTATACTTTTTTTAGAAAAAAATGCACTGATAAATCATGCATAGTAAATACATTTATTGAAGTATATGCACTCATTCAAAATTTTTTGTATATATGCATGTTTAACAGAATGCAGTGCGACACAACCTCAGCCTGCACAAGTGTTTCGTCCGAGTGGAGAACGTAAAGGGCGCCGTGTGGACCGTGGACGAAATGGAATATCAGAAACGCAGATCTCAGAAGATAACAGGGTACACAAACACACTATAAATGTTTTTCAGATGCTTTTACAGTCAGATTAATAGAAATATAATTCAACATTTGTGTTGTTGTGTTCAGGAGCCCAACGCTGGTCACCCCTCAAATAAAACATGAAAAAAAATTTAATATGAGCATATTATTTGGCATTATTTGGCTTCTTTGCTACATGTTTTAATTAGATTATTTTATGGCGACGTACAATACTCGCCATATTTCTTTATTTTTTATTCATGCTTCTTGATTATGAAAGAGTGTTTATGGGTCATTTTGATCAATTGAATAAATATATTTTTGGAATTTTAATTATTGCTTGATTTTTCTTTTTTCCTTTTAATTTATAAACCCGAAGTATCTACATTTCCTAATTATTACAGCCATTATTCTTTAAATAACTGTCATAATTTAAATAACTGCCATAATTTGTTAGAACAACAATAGTGTTTAGCAGTAGATAATAGTCTGTGATATGATTGGTTCATATTTTTCGTCAGCTATGAGGCCTTGATTACACCAACAGAAAGCTTTAAAAAATTATACTTTTTTTAGAAAAAAATGCACTGATAAATCATGCATAGTAAATACATTTATTGAAGTATATGCACTCATTCAAATTTTTTTGTATATATGCATGTTTAACAGAACGCAGTGCGACACAACCTCAGCCTGCACAAGTGTTTCGTCCGAGTGGAGAACGTAAAGGGCGCTGTGTGGACCGTGGACGAAATGGAATATCAGAAACGCAGATCTCAGAAGATAACAGGGTACACAAACACACTATAAATGTTTTTCAGATGCTTTTACAGTCAGATTAATAGAAATATAATTCAACATTTGTGTTGTTGTGTTCAGGAGCCCAACGCTGGTCAAGAACCTGCCATCCAGTCTGGGTTATGGGGCAGCTCTCAACGCCAGCTTACAGGTAATGTGTGCGTGTGTGTGTGAGGTTGGCACAACCAGTGAGAGTCTAGAAGGACACCGTGTGGTAGAGGCAGGTACCTTCTCTGCCAGCCTGGCCTCAGATTGATAGCAGCCTGTGCAAATGCGAGGGCATAATCATTAATATTTATCTAAACTGTCATAAATGATTTGGCTTCGCAGTGTCGGCCAGCAAGGTGCTCGTGGCAAAAACTTTAAAATTTAATTACTGTATATAACTTTAATGTGCAGGAGGCAAAAATGTCATGAGTCTTTTTTTTTTCTTTGACTGTTTTGAGGTAAAGTTTTGGATGGTTTCATTATCATGTGGATGCTCGGGCTTTCTTTATTCGCTGTTCATTTGAGGCCTGTCTTGTAAGGTGAAGAGATTGTTTTTGCAACTTCGAAACTTTCCCGTTGTTTTTTTTCCTGCCACTTTGTGGCAGTTCTCATCTGTTTTTATCATACTGATTCTTCAGCAATAATTTGGAAGTAACTCGATAAAAAAGAGGAGATAATCTGGAACGAGCTGGAAGCCATGCGCTATGACATGCCGACTGCTGAAAAGGCTTGAAAATGCTTGAGTATAACTATTCCCTCTCGCTCTCTCTTTCTCTCGTAGGCTGCGTTGGCGGAGACCTCTTTGCCGTTGCTGGGTAATCCATGCTTGATGAATAGTGCGTCAGGTATGATGGGGGCGAGTCCTCCAGGACTGATGAGCGGCAGCCCAACCGGCCTATTACAGGGCAGCATGCATGAAGATCTCAACGGCACACTAGATCACCTGGACACTAATGGACACAGCAGTCCCGGATACTCCCCACACACCCAGCTGTGAGTTCACACACACATACACGTGCACGTCATAAAATGGCACATTTAAAGTCTGTAATGTGACGTGTTTACAAAATATTCAGCAGGGCTTGATTTCATCCAACAGGATTTGATTGGATCATGAAAAATTGGCTATTTTATTAGCTAATATTGCTAATACTATCAATATTAATATTATATCATTTTTTTTAATCATGAGGTACACCACCATATGGTATATGGAGTCAATTTTGATTTTATTTTGCATTTAAGATCCTAAAATAACTAATTATTATAGAAATAATTATTAATATTATTTATTAAAAAACAATATACACAATTATTTAAGTTCTTTCAGATTTTTAGCACTGATTCTGCAGTGGTATGAGTATTCACAAGGATCCTAAATTGTTTAAATTAAATTCACTCATTTCTAAATTCATTCATAAATTGCCTTTAAAACTAAATTCACTCAATGCACTAAACTTACTCATTGTTTATCCAGTTTCATTCTAAAATATGTCATTTCATGGAAATAAAATAGGTTGCAAACTGCTCATTTACCTTCGGTTTTGAGGGATGCCGGGGAGTCATTATAGTTTAGCAATGATAAAATAAAGTTAATGTTGATGTTATTTATTTAAAATATATAAAATGTTAAGGGAAGATGTTTGAAAATTATAGCAAAAAGCAATTTTTTTTGTGCCAAAAAATTTTTATATTGTACTTTTTTATTAATTATAAAAAAATTCCAGATTTTTTTGCATTGAACTAGCAGTGGTTTAAGTATTCGCAAGGTTCCTAAATTACATTTAAATTACATATGAATACAAAAAAATAATAATAATTTAGACCTGAAGGTTAAGTGTACATTTGGTTCTTGGATTACAGCTCTTACCTATAAATAGGTAAGAAGTGAAGGCTGCCATAATTATAGATTCCCTTGTAATTACCCCACTGTCCACATCGCAGAGGTTTAGATGTTATATTTTATGCAAGACCGTTCTTATTAATATTTAGCAGCTAACTATATCATTAATTACTTTAAAATCTTTGCCTTTCCATCTTTTTTAATGGCTCACAGAGAGAAAGAGGGAGACAGAGAGAGAGAGCACAGGCTGATGAAAGATTAATGCGGTGCCGGTCGGAGGAATGGTGATATAGAACATGTGCTCGCCCTAATCAGTGATGTCACTCATGCTGGATGGCTGTGTTTACCGAGCCAAAGATAGTAGTACGAGCGTTAAGGGCAGCGGGAAGCATGTCGCACGCCATCAGACCTGCACACGCTCACATTTCATGCATTTTCATGCACAGAGTTGCTAATGCTAACCCAAAGACCCTATTAGCTAAAAAACACACTGTGCGCTCTGGAAATGTGTGTTAATAGAAGTGTGTTTGATTCAGAAGTGGGACAGCAGTGTGAAGTGGGCCAAATCTGAGATCCAGACAGAATCCCTGTGTATTCACTCCCTCAGGTTATTTAACTTTTAATAACGAACCTTTAAGTCTGGTGTTTTTAGACCCCCCTCTCTCTTTCTGCCTGTCCGTCTGTCATATTTTCTTTCTTTCTGGACTGAAGTGTTAAGACATAAATGCTCAATAAAGGTGAAGTCCCTGTTACATGACCTCTACATGCTCAAAATGGAAGAAATATGTTTTGCGAGTGGCTTTTTCGGGGCTGCATTTAATAATGAAGAGGCTAAAGAGGACAACATTTTCACATTTTGTCTCCTGAGAAACAGAACAATTAGACTAACCTTTCTCTGAACATGTTGCATTAATGGCATCTGTCTGACTAGATGTGTGTGTATGAGCACATGTATGAGGAAAAAAATTTATTGTTTGCTTTCATGCATGCATACAAAGATAATCTCAAATTTTTTCGATATGAAATAAAACATAATCATTGTTATTTTTTTAAATGCACTTTATATCAAGTGAATTTTCAATGGATTCACTTGAGAAAATGTTAATTTTACTTACCGTTTATCCAATTTTGCTTATTGCTTACTCTGAAATATGTCACTTTATGAAAGTAAAATTGGTTAAATATTTCTCATTTCCCTTAATTTAAGGAATTATGTGCAGTCATTATTGCAAAAAATGTTTTGTGCCAAAAAGAAAATAAAAACTTCAATATTAATGTTTAGCAGTAATTATTCATAATTCAGAATATATATATATATATATATATATATATATATAAAAAATAAATATAAATATATATTCACTGTGCGGCAACTGACAAATCAGAGTAAAGCACTCCAGAGAGCAATGTA